TAGAGGCAGAGGCTGGGGTCATGACAGTCGAACCCAAAAGGGTCCTGTCTCCTTCGCATCACACAACGAAGATGAGGAAGAAGAGGAGAAAGGCAAACAGTACGCCAAAGACTTTAAACATCAGCCAACGATTGGAGCTGACAGATCGGAAGTAACGCAACAATTCATTGTGGCCGGCCTCCACCGAGGCAACTGCGTCCTCGACGTTGGCGTCAATGCGCTGGACGCTCTCCTCCTGTTCATGCACCTGGGTTGACGCGAGAGAAGACAAGAACGTCATTAGGCGAAGGTCAGCACACAAATTATCAGACGATATGTAAACAGATAGAAGAGGCGGCAAACGGGTCTGCTGCAGCCACAGCATGGTTTTTAGCCGATGGGAGGATCAGAAATTACAACACATCGGACCAGCGAATAGGCTAAAACCATTGAAGTGGCCTGGCGAGTCCTGGTTCCTGCCGCTTTCTTCATTGTCAGAACACCGGGAGCGAAGTGTAGCGATTGACTCAGACTACAGGACGGAAGTGGGCATTTCCGTTCTGCACGGAAATGGAAAGTTCACAAACCATGCAGGCGGTCACATGGCCATCCCTGACCTAGTTTCCGTCATCAGCCAGTGAATATTACCTGCCTAGTAAAATGAATAACGAGGATGACCTTCGGCGACGCATGAGCCGCCGCTAATTTGTAGATGGACTGCAAGTTCCGAGTACACGTCCACCCAAGGGATGTGATGGGCTCACCAGCCGAGATGACCACTTGCTCTGGCGGAAAATGCATCAAAGATAACAGGCTATCTAACTTTGCTATACAGCAAGCACGCACCCATCTTCACTTGTTTTGACCTTGTCATCAGAGCAAGGTGGGTGGGGGGAACGAGTGCGATAGACGCTTCGCAAGTCAACGGCGCTGCGCCATGCGGTGAAAGCCGTCGCTTGCGCCAGCCGAACTGTTATCAGTACTTGTCACCGATCGTTCTACGGCCGGTTGTCAGGGATATGGGCGGGAACTGCAGGGCGAAACGGAATGCCCGCAATTCGTCCTTCAATCAGTCCTTTTCAGGGGTTACAGACTGTTAATGTTATCCCCTAAATACGCATTACATGGGAAAACAGCGTGCCTAGCGGACAGCTAGAGAGAACAAGGACGAGGCGAGAGAGCTGGCGTTGCTTGATAAATAAAACAACTGAACACTACTTACCATAGTCGCGAGCTGTTGAAAAATCTGACCCAGCTCAACGATGGTGTGCTCGATGGTGCGTACTGTTTCGTGTCTTGATTGTAGATAGGCGTCTGTCTGATCGCGATAGAGTAGGCGTTGGTTTAGCTGCTCGCCGGCAAAGTCACGAACCCCCAAATCGTCTCCTTCCATTCCACCGTCTTCCGCAGAGAGGCCCTCCGCTGCTCTTCGGGCACGCTGCTCGTCCTGGAAAGACGATGATGAAATATGGTCAACACTGGTACTTACGCTTACGAATAGTCACTGGTTCTCCACTAGGCTGCATTAGCGGTTGGCGATAAGGCTGTTGCCTTTACGGGACCGGGTAAAACATTTAGACCTAGTTGTCTAAGAAGGGCGCAGGTAGACAAGTAGGGTGGTTTTCGGGAGGATTGGGTTTTGCTTACCGGTCTGCCTGAAAGCTACTCGATGCAGTCAGTAGAGAATAGGGTTAAGTTTAGATTAGCAAAGTTGAGAGATCCGGGAAGATTATTTGAAGAAGAAAATAGGCTCTCCGGAACAGGTTTATTTAGCTGCTGACGTTTCAAAGAGCTGGGTCGGCTCTTCATTGGAGAAGTGTCACCAACAACAACAATGAGGGCGGGTTCCGTCAACAGTCATACCATAACCAGAGACCGTTAAGACCCGAGGACTTAAAGGCGACGAACTGGTCCTTGGGAATTCTGAGCCACGAGCTCAGGCGCTCTCGGGAGAGTAGGGTTCGCCGACCGATCTAGATTTCAGGACGGAAGACGGTGCATGCATGTAACCTTGAGACCCTGTATATATGGCCCTCGCAGGCGGTCTTACAGAAACGACCCTCCTCTCGTAGGGTGGTTTCCAGGCAGACTGAACCTTAACTGCTAGCCCCTTTGAGGACTGTCGGGCGTCTATGATGACTAATAAGGCAAAAATCTCCCCAGTGGTTGCAAGCACTGCAAACTGTAAGGGCAAAAATTGGGTGCGCAGACGGAAAAAAAGTGCCAGAGAAGTGAACAAGCCATCTGGAAAGTCTGTAAACTACAAAAGGTTGACGACCAAGAGGTATCATAGTACTCTGACCGCAACCTACCATCAAAAATGCCTTCATCCTGAGGGTTGGGGTCTCCAATCAGAAGGAGGGCTCGTCTGCATGGACTACACTCCTTCGTAATACTCGAGCTAGCTAAGTCAATTCTGGTGGAGGTTTACACAAGGAGGTAAAAATGTCGCTCACAATCAGCATCTTCCACAGCCTTCAAGAAGAATCGTGAAAAAGTTCTTCACAGTGGCTAGGGGTCGCTGAGGTCGTCCAAATGTTCGGCGACGGAAGATCCGTTTATGGTCGGGAAGGAGGCCCTCGTATTGCGGTACCATTGCACTTGGACCGCACTTGGGCAGATAGATGAGCAAAGTCCGTAGTCCCATTAGCAAGCAGCAATACGTAATACTGCGACTTAATTGCCGATGATGGACTAAAACTCACTCCCAGGTGGGGGCCCATTCCTAGGAAGGTATTCGGGACACGCCTGATAATCAGTAATACAAGGCGGATGAGGACCACTTCAGACTACCCATATTTGACAATGTGTTGTCTAGATAACCACCTCATCTGGCTGTTTGAGCGTCTCCCTAAGTATAGTAAGTTCTTGGAGGTGGTTGTAAACTTTAAGGTAGAAGGGTGAAACGCAGTGGTTGGAGGCAATGATTATCAGGAGATAAGCAGAGGTTGGAGGTGAAACTCAGTTTTATCGCAGTCGGGTAAATGAAAGTCCTGGTTTAGCTAGAAGACGGTGCCTTATCTCACACCCATTGTCTTGCGATCTCGTAAGGACTCACACAGGTATCCGCCGAAAAGGTGCGATCAGAACTTGACAGGGTTCAGGAGGCAAGGTGGACTATTAGTTCAGCAGTGTGCTGGTTTGTAGTCGCGTCTGCGTTGGACGGCTGTCTACACGAACGATATTTCCGCTGGTTAACCGATATAGCCCTGAATGGCGCCTATCGTACTGTGCTCTGCGCACGTGATGTGATTTCGCCAGTCAGGTGGTCAGGCGATGATTAAAGGTCCAGCTCCGCCAAGTGGCGGTGGCGACGGTGGCGGCGACTGTGGTAGTCTTGATTAGCGCCGTTGGTAAGGCGAACTGGTGATGATGAGGAAGGTGCCCTTAAGGGGATTTTCTGGTCCCGCTTTGCTTGAACAATGCTCCCTCTTGCGCATCAAGAGTGTATCCAACCAATGGTCTGTGATATCCGCAGCTAGCAGAGGGAAGCCTTACACAAATAGCATCCACATTGTTTACACGCTTCTTCGGAGAGTGTCCAGAGATACACAGAGTCAGAGGCCTTAGATGCTCCCAAAGCCTCGGTGGTAGCTGATGTAAGCTGAAAGTCATGCCGAAGACAGACGTACGAAAACAGCCTTGAATACAAGCCCTTGCGATGAGGGCTGGAGAAGCGCTTACTTCACTGCCTGGTACTAGGTTATAAATAAACAGGTCCTTTAAAGCAAAATAGATTAAACCCCACCACAAGGTCGTAGTGCAAACGGTGCTCACAGCGGAGTGCGAACTGCTGACCTCAACCGAAAGTATGTGGCTTCGTTTCGTTGGCAACACGATAAGAACGTGTGGGCGTAGAAACGCCCTCTAATTACGGCAACTGGCAGACACCATGTGATTCGAATGTACGCGCGAAGCGCTGACTCCGACGCGCTATACTGCAGGTGATGATAATTAGTGACGGAGAAGATTAAAGATGCATGTTTATTCTTAGCTGTTGTCCTCGGGATTCGTATCCACACAAAGAACGCTGACTACAGAAAAACGCACTTTTGTCTACTTAGACTAGCATCAATGTTGCGCCAGAGTTTATGGCATCACAGTACGTCGGGCTCATCTCGATCCTTGGGTCTGGCCCGTTTACTGTTTCACTTAAGGACATGACACTGACTCGGACAGAATGAGCGAAAATAGGCTCGGCAAGGAACAGTCAAAGTAGACTCCTATTGGAAGTATGGCCACCGATTAAACTGTGGTGAAATACCACGAAGGAACCAGAAGATGAAATCAGAGAGAGCCCCATAGTCCTACTCCACCCCTAGACAGAATTCGAAATGCTCGGGTAAAGGCTTAATTTCTGATAAGTAACGGTTGCTATGCCGTAGAACTACTGTGATTTTCGGCTTGCCTTCTGCAGTCGCTAATTTATTAGATCGACAAGCAGTCCCCTCTGGCGTCATTACTCAGACACGTCCAATTCGTTTTTTTTAATTTCGACCCGAGGTTCCAAGTACCGGAGAGATGTTCCACTAACCACCACCTGCGGACGCGCCCTCAGTTTGGCTGCCGAGGAAGGTCTGTTTTTTTTTCCGACCCGCCAATATATACCTAAATTCAGAAGACACCTGCTGGTAGAACCAACAAATTGCTTCCAGAGGCCTGGTCGCTGGCCTAGCCGGCGCATCCACAGACAGCCAACAGTAGAACTGCCTTCAAAGAAAGTTAGTTGCGAAAGAAGCCGGTCCTCAGATCCGCCAAGGTCACGGAACATGCAGCGGCAACACCTTCAGACGTGACTAATTGGCTACCTAGAAAAAAGTCAAAAGTTACAGGAAAATCCCACCCGCCGCCCAGTGTAATGCTAGTGCGCGGACGAGGTGGATGAAGATGTCCGCTACAGGTAGTACAACAAGCACTCCAAGGAACCGTTACGCCAAACGACCGCGGGGAAACGCCACGGCTTTTGAGACAACTGGAGGGCTATATTTCGCGTACTTTAGTGAAACTTCACGAGTAACACAGGCGCCGAAGGAGGGTACTTGCCTGCTCAATAACCTTAAAGGTTCATAAGCGTTAAGCATGGAGCGCCTCAGCCCACTTTATGCATGTTCGAATGTGAGTAGACTTGGCCATACTTGGAAGCTCGTCATTCTGTGGGCCTCAGTAAAAATCTCTGTCCTGCACAGAGCTTGAACTTAGGGGGAAAGTAGATTGAGGGCGTAGGCGCGATGGTGGTGACGGCGACGTGCTCTGACGGACACTCAGACCTAAATGCACCTTCAGGTTGCACTGCCCAAATTTCACATTGGTACAATAACGCGAGGCGCTGTAGACTCTGTCCTCTTCCCCCCCCCCCGCTCTTGGCCGGCTCTGGTGTCTTGTTGTTTTCTGTCTGGAGAACAATCACGGCATGGCATCCTGATAGAATTTAGATGTTTTCCAGGGGGAGCTTTAAACAGGGGAAGATGCGGGCACCAAGACAGCAAAAGCGATAGCATGTTGGCTAGTAATAATCGCAAAACAAGGATTTCGTCTACCAGACTGCATAAACTGATGGAAACAAAAACGCATGCAAGTGGTTGCAGTAGAACGGTATGATACCTAACCCTCTGCAAGAAGGCACCTAGGTGAGAATTTTGGCATTCGGCCAACTGTTTTCTGACAAACCTATTTCGTCTTCAAAAATCCACCCCCTCCCCCTCCCCCCGACATAGGCTCAGTAGGAAACAAGAGGAGAATTCAGTTACCGGGAGTGGGGGGCTTTCAGACGAACATACTTCCCTCTCCAAGGAGGGATTTATCTCCAGTTTATACACATATTTTCAGTATGCTTGAAAATATTCCCCAAACTGGCAATATGCTGTAATTAAAAGTGGGTTGGAAGTCCTTATTTACTTGGTAACGGTGAAGAATCTGATGCCCAACAAAATTTAATGTTAATTCTATGTAACCACCGATAAGGCAGGCGAGTGTTGCAACGCCGAGCCAATAGCGGCTGTCTAGACTGGCCAATCAGCTTCGAAGTCGACTCAGACATGACCTCGCTGAGGACGCTGGCCGAATACTTCGCTGTCAGGGACTGTGTTGAACTCACTTGGAGGAGGATTGATGGGACGATGACCGCAGACCGGGTACTGGCATCCCCAACCTGTTGTTGGGTCGCGGAGAGGAGGAGATGTTGGGGAACGTCGTCAACACTAGCAGCAGAAGACGCCAAGGGCAGACGAGCAGAGTACTCGTTCCGACGGGCTGCCTGTGATTGTAAAACTGCCGACCTCTGCTCCAGCACTGTTTTGAACTTATCTGACATGGAGGCCAGTCGTGTCTGCAGGTTCATGAGGACAGAGGAGGAGTGTTTGGCTGACTGGTGGCTTTGACCCGGCTGAAAAGTCAACGGTGACACGGTGTTGAGAGCAGGGTGGGGGAGGGGGCGGCACGGGGAGGAGAGGGGTGCAAAGTAGAAAGATAAGCTGGTTTAAAAATGCGTAAATTGTAGATACAGTTTACTCCCACTTGCTTGCTGACTGCTTTTTTTGCGTAGAACACATCTAAAGGCATGAATACCACATAAAAGAAAATATACGTGTCTTGGTAAATCACAATTGTAGGTGCATTCGGGGTAGCTGTAAGCCATACACTTTTAAGGGTAGTGTTGTAAAATGACTTTGAAATAATATCGAATTGTTTTAGGAGGACAACCTAGGGTATATTTGCTGTTTGGACACAAAAATAGGTGGTTACAAGCGTTTGTAGCGGGGTTTCAAGTACCCGCAGACTTTAGTTACTCGCGGATAGCTGTGCACCCGAACCTCCCGCAAATACCATGGAGTTGACTAAAAGTCACTGGCGTGAGCGGGAGGCAGAGGACAGTGACATAATCCGCCAGGGGTAAGTCACACCCTGCGACACTTCCTGCATGTTATACGGTAACTCTTCTACGTCCACGAGGACGCGTCCACACTTGCCCAGTCTCGCCGAGGTAAAGTAACTTCGTAACTTCCATCGGTTTGGACTTGAAGAAGGCGGGTGTACTTCTATTGTCTTGGAATGACCCAGCCACTGCCAGGTACATGAAGACTTCCGCTTTACTGATCGTAAATTCATGGGGCGGGGAGGGGGAGTTCATTAGGCGTTAATACGATCCCACCAGTTCCTGTACTCTGTAGTCTTCTAGAGGCATATACTGATGACGGCCAGGCTGGTGCTCGGAGAGACACTGTGTTCGATCGGTAGCCTGATGCTGGTCGGAGTCGCAAGTTGCTGGCAGGATCGACAGCGCATCCCTCCCCCTATCCCTCGGACAGCAGTAAGAAGCAGACTTTTGCAGGGTGTTTATAGTGTCCTGCAATTGTCTGGATACCTATGGCTGCACAAATAATAAAATTACTTAGTGTAAACGATACGAAAGTCCAACCTCTCGAGGAGCGACTGTTCGAGGAGTACAAACCCATGTTTTGGGCGCGCTACGTTGATGACACCTTTTTAATCATCGGTTAGAATAAAATCAACTACTATGAAGAGCTGCTGAACTCAATCACTCCCGATCTACAGTTCACGATGGAAGAGGAATTGGAGAGCACAATTCCATTCTTGGATGTTCTCGTCTGCCGCCAACCAAACGGCAAACTAGCGACGTCAGTCTGCAGAAAACCGACGAACACACTGCAAATGCTCAGTTACAACAGCAACCACCCACTGCAGCACAAACGAAGCTGTGTACGCAGGCTATATCGACGGGTGGAAACTCATTGCAGCACGCCAGCCGCCAAACTGGACGAGATAAAGCTCCTTCACGAACTCTTCAGAGCCAACGACTATCCGCGAGCATTCGTTGAACGGTGCCGAAGGCATCCAAGGAAGCGGAATGAAGAACATAGTCGGTCAAAATCGTGGCGGAGCATTCCGTGGCTAGACCCCTCGCATCGCTCGGAATAGGCGTTGTCCACAGGCCTGACTCAACAATCCGCCGGCAAGTGATGCGGCCTAAAGACCCGATCCCTAAGGGAGAGATGTCGGCTATTGTCTACCGACTTCAATGCAACTACGGGAACTGCAACTACGTTCAGAAAGCCGGCCGACGGCTGCAAACGCGAGTGCACGAGCATAAGTTGGCCGTGCGAAGGTTGGACCCAAAGTCGGAGGTAGCAACCCATGCCGCGCAAATGGGGCACAGCTTCAACTTCGAGGCCGTTGAAATTGTGGGCCGGGGTGATGATCATACGTCAAGGCAGGTGCAAGAAGCCTGGATGTCCACCGACTGTTCTGTCAACCGCCACATCAATTTGCCTCCCCCTATCTGACTTTACGAACCTTCTTAACGGGGGACAGTCACGGCGCGAGACAATTGGGGCCGTCAGTCATCTACGAGGGCGGGGCGATTCAGGTCACGGTGACATGCGGGTCGGATGCAGCCACGCAGGCGCCATTGGCGGGCCACGCATCAAACAAAATGTGCCATATAAGGTGAGCTGTGCGCATGACTTCCCAGTCCCCGAAGATGAGTAGACGAAACAACTACTCGAAACGTCAGACCCCCAATACACCTCATCCTCTTTTGAGTCCAACCTCTGTTATAATTTCCACCACCACATGGGCGTTTTTGTTTTTTTTCTCACTTTTTTGTCCTTTAATCTGAAAATTAACCAAATGGTCGATCTGTTGAGAAGGAAATTAACCGCCAGCGCTGGCTTGCCGAGCGTAAATCGGCAACAGTCCCGAGAAGACACTATACAACCCACATAAGTCCACGAAGTATTTGGATGAAAAGTATGAAGCAACTGGATGGGTTAATGGTAAATCACGATTCGGGAGGTCTGTCGTTAACAGAAGTCTTTGCGAAGAGTTTAAAAAATCCTTTCAGTGAGAAGCCAGTAATATTGACATCTCATTAAAAATGGTGCACAAAATTCTGAAAGTCGAGTTACACAAAAGATGTCTGCAAAATTAAACTAGCCCACGAATGAAAAGAGGAATAGTGTCACACGGGGTCGGATACCGAGATCATAAACCGAGAAATTCCGCGGAATAACTAAAGTGTCGGCCCCTAAAACGGACTACGTGGTAGATGTGTTAGACTAACACGGGGGCCAGATCGGGGTCCGAAAGGCGTCATTGGGGGTGCGTACAGATAGCAAATGGGGATGTAGTGGCACGCCCGGGTACAGGCCCATGTCCCGCCAGTTGGGCTCTGAGTTGCCCGCCTTTTTCTTGTTGTGTAAAATTTTGGTCAGTGTACGTTATGGACCAGGTGTGATGGTACTTCCGGAAGCGAGTTTTTGCAGTTCAGGACACCCGCGCCCTCTCCCCTGTCCGATATTTTTGACTCTGGTACGACACCCAGCCCAAGTGGGGGAGGAGAGTGTGGTGGATGCTGTGCAAGTCTACTATCACTTTAAGCTACATCACATGTAAGTTACCGTTTCTGCTCTCTCACCCTCCTGTAGAGCACACGGTGGGCATCGTGGGTAAAAACGGTCGACCAGTTGTGGTCTTCCCAATGACCCCGATTATCGCAAATGAGCAAATTAAAAACCAGGAGAAATCTGAACACGTGACGAATACTGCGTGGTGTGTGTATGGTGCGCAATCAAAAAGTCGAGGCCTACAGGCCCTCCCATCTTTGACGAATAAGCGGTAGAGGACGAAAATAATCTGACAATGCAACAGGATGTTTGCGGTTCAGAATTTTAGGCACAAAATCCTTTCTCCAGCAGCATAGAACACCCTGCCATCATGCATGTAATCCTCGACCGTTCTGACTAACAAATTACAGACAAATTGGATGGGTAGAAGTGGAAAAAGTTCATCTTATCTATTCATCACGTAATTTGTTGGCGTGGAGGGATGACAGGACAATCATCTACTCAAAGAAACCTCATGCTGAGGGAAACCAGGGCGGCAATAACAAAAAAAGCCAGACAATAACAGCCCGTTAGTTAAGAGATGTACTTATAGAGTTCGAAAGTGAGCTCTAAAAATGAATTAACAAAGGCGGAGGCCATGCTGGGGTGCGACAGCCAAAAAGTGTGGAACGAATGAAATTTCATGTGTTGTACTTCCATATGACTTTTAGTACATAATGCTATCAGCAGGAAAACGTCAGCATCCAAACTTTTAAAACTACCGCAAGACTTTGTGGACACTCAGTACTCGTCCCAAAACACTACCAATCATCTACAGTTAGTTGCAGGCCTTCAGAACCACCATGTACCGCGAGGAGCCGAAACATCATCAACATGAAGTTGTAGGGCGCACGGTGTCACTCACAAGTAAACAAGGCGACTACGATGTATTTTACAAACGGCTAGTCCTCACGAAGTGCTGACATTATTTTGAATGGGTTGGATTTAGGGTGAACAAGGACTCCCTTAAACACAGAGTGGCAACGCCCGGAGGCAGATTGGTGGAGGGTGTGAAAGGGTTGGAGGGAGGACTGACTAACCTGGACTTTGGAGATCTTCTGGAGATCGGCTATTCGATGGTTCAGATTGTTGATATCATCCTTAATGATGAGGGTCAGCCGCTGAACCTCGGAGGAGTTGTCATTGAAGAGGGTCCGCTGTCTGGCCAGAGTGCTGAGACTCTCGAGGCGGCTACAGGTTACAGCTAAGTCCTTACTTATTTGCGCAGCCACACCAGCAAACTGCGAACGGGATTTAAACGCCGATGTGTCCTGTCGCGCCCTCAGCGTTCGTCCATTGGCAGTTAAGAGGCCATTGGAGGGTCTGTCATCCGAGGAGGGTTTCTGCAGGCCGTTTGGAGGAGGAGGAGAATCGGGTACGTAGGCGGCATTTACATGGCCATTTGGGAGATTGTGTGATGCGCGGCCCGACTGTTGAAGGACCTGGAGGAAATCGGCGGTGCGATCTGTTCCGAAACTCATTACTGTCGCAAAGGCGGCGAGGCAACTGCAGCGAGGAGTAAACAAGCATGATGTCAAAACATACTGAAAACGCAAAAAGGTAGTTATCCTGAAGGGCTTCGGTTGGGCCGCTGCAGTGATGGAATATGATTTCGCCGACCACAAAGGTACATTTCTATCCGCTGTATCTTGTGGACAGAGAGAACGAGTTGCTATCATAAATTAAACGAAGGAAGTAGGCGATAAAGTCAGACTCGAAATCAGATATAGCCGGGGAACCTGTCTCACACCAAAACGCTGAGTCCCTATGAAGGAACAGGTTTTTTCTCTAAAAGGACCAGTACTGTTGGTTACAGCAACCATGTGGGGAAGCGGGGTAGTAGAAAAAGAACCTACACAGACGGCCATGGGGCAGAAGTCATGGTCACAAGAACTATTATAAGGCGTATGCGGTCCCCTATTTGCCAAAGAGGAAGACGCTTCCCCATCCTTAGCCGCAGGCCAGCCAGGAGGCTGGATGAGTAGACTGCATCCGTCCTGTAACTATGGTGGCCAGGGAAAAATTGTTTTGGATATTCTTATTAGGTAAAGTCCATGACTTAGACTCGCTTAATGGGTCAGATGCGATGCGTATACTTGATGCCTTCCGCAAGTGAAGTGCAATTATGGTCAAACATACTAAGCGGTCAGCCTTGTTGGTCATCTCCCGAGACTGGCGAGGCCTCCACGTAACTGGCGTTATAAGGCCCGACCGAGTAGCTGAACTTGTCAGTTTCTGAGGTGTGCAGCCAAATTCGCTATTCGGAATTCCAGATAGTAAAAATACTTTCTTCGGTGAACGCCTCGTATGACACCAAGGAACCGCACCACCACTACCGTTGCTGGATGGCTGGTTTTGCATTCTCGCCAGGATCGTACATCCGCACCAGTGTGGAAGAGGATCAGCAGAGACAGCTTGGGTCGCACGCACTGTGTGTGACCTCTGCCAGTGATCAAGCGATCGAACACCAAGCCGGGCGGTACTTTTGAATGTCTGTACATAGACGCCGCGCCTGTTTGGATGGTCGACCTTGGTACTGACGGATACAGTTACCTGTTCACACACTTTAAGACGATCTGCCGTAGGCCGTCTTGTATGTGTGGGTGGTTGTTGGAATTATTGCGGATCAGGGTCTTTACTGATGCATTTCACTCGTACGCAAATGGGGTAGCGCAAACTTGACAACCCCTTGACCAAGTCGGAAGCAGCCGTATCCGATCAACCCTACAGCGACTACTACGGACTATATATATATGCGTTTTTGATTGGGCTGCCCTCCCTGGGCCATCTCAGTTGGGTGTTCTTGGAATTCGTGGGGGACGCTTTACTAAGTTGCATATTCTTCTGAACAAAAATAAGACTCCAGATAAGGGTAGCCTGACCTCCCCTCTGCTCTCCAACTTAAGCAACACCACCTTGTTCTGCTACCGTCTAACCATGTTTGTGACACTAGTATGGGTGTAATTTCTGTGCACAGAGGCTGTTTGTCAGCTCTAGCTCAAAGGACGAAGAGGCTGCCGAATGACCGCGTCCGTGTCCGTCGCGGTCTAATCTTTCCAACAATTTCGGCCAGACGATCGGCTGACATGGGAAACTGCCCGCAAGGGTCGTCCTTCTACGATTGAAGGGCAAAATAACCAGCATAACCGGAGGCAATATTCGACTGAAATAGCGACCTCCATGAAACCGGCCTCGAACGTTGGTGACACTCGAAAACTCTACTAACTTATACGCCAAGTTAGCGGTAAGCCCTCTACACTGAGTGACTGTTCGCGACGTGAACGGCGGCTCTATTGCTGACAACTCGGCCAAAGTCGAACGCTGGCGTGAGCACTTCCAGCATAATCTCAACTTCGATCTCGATAAGACGAGATGCGAGAACTGCCGCAGCATAAGCCTCATTGATGTTGCCGCGAAGATCTTCGCTATTGTCCTACTCAGGCGATTCCAGGTTGTGCGTGACTCTAGAACGAGGCCCAACCAAGCCGGATTTCGTACTGGACGTGGATGCGCGGACCAGGTATTCACATTGAGGCGTACTCCCAAAGTTCGTCATAGCTACCAGTAACCGACGGCCATCTGCTTTGTTGAATTTGCCGCCGCGTCCGATTCCGTCTATGGCGGATAATGACACCAGATGGTGTAACGCCAAAAATAATCGCCATAATCAATGCCTATTACCAATCCACCACCGCGCGAGTCCTGGTCCGCAACAATCTTTCCCAACCGTTTGGTATTCGGTCTGGCGTTCGATAAGGTTGTATCCTGTCGCCCATTCTGTTCAACAACGCTATTGACTGGATTCTCGGGAGGGCCCTACACGAGGGTGACGGTGTTGAATTCGCACCCGGACACCGGGTGACTGATCTCGACTATGCCGATGATATTGCCCTACTTGCTTTAAGTGTTAGTGATTTACAGTCTATGGTATCACGGGTGAACGAGGTCGCTAAATTGGTCGGTTTATCCATAAGCGCTTGGAAGACTGAAATGTTTTCCAGCTGCATCCCTGACCAGGAGAAGGAACCTCTCGGGATTTATGGCTGTCAACTTGAAGAAGTATACAGTTTTAAATACCTCAGGGTCAGACTGCTGCCGAATTGATGTTAGCCGCCGGGTTTTCTCAAGCACTAGAAAATGTCAGTGAATCCGACGCGAAATCTCCATCGCCATTAAGGCTCGCATGTACCGTGCATCTGTTCGGTCTGCACCTCTATGGTTGTGAATTCCGGGCTGTGTGCGTGGAGCACGAGCGGAAACTGAAGGTATTTGACCACCACTACTTGAGGACCATCCTTCCAGTGAAGTACACCGAATTCGTCCTAAATGATACAGTTCGCGCTCGCTGCGACAACATCACAAGGATAACCCAGGCCATCCAAGAAAGGCGGCTGAGGTGGTTTGGACATGTTCTTCGTCGTCCACCTCAGGAGCTCAGTATTACTGCCTTCGATCCATCACCGTTACCCCGTTGGAGCCGTCGAAGAGGGGGTCAACTCAAAACCTGGCTCGGCACAGTTCGTCAAGAGATGGAGGTTGTTCTTGGACCTTCGGCATTTAGTCTCCGTCGTTGGCGAAGGGAATAGGTTGAACTGTCCAGATCTGCTGCCGCGGATCGTCACGCATGGAGAGGTACAGTTAGGGACATCATCGAGGCCGGCAAGATCAGACATGATCGCAGCCGTACCAAGTACCAAGCAGGTAGCTAGTATCTAAACGATGGCGGGACAGTTGCACAGGTTATCTAAATTCCTGTAGGCAAGCGCTGTGCAATATAGGTCTTTGATCGTTGCTCAGGGCATGGAGGTGCGCGTGACAGGTAGTAAGTTTTTGCACAGCAATGCATTCACTTGACTCATTCGACCTCGAAAGCTCGATGCTCGCAAATGTTAATGCAAGTAAACGGACAACCGCTTTGAGGGGGAAGTTACTAACCACCTCACCATGATGCATAACAGCCTGGGGTTAATGCGGAAACAGTCCGTTTCATATAGGTAGCAGCGAGTGCAAACTCCAGGACTGGATGCTAGCCAAAGCCATTGAATTTTCAGTTGGTGTATGGAGCCCAAATTGGCCCAACACAAAAACAAGAGCACCGCGCCATCAGGCAACATGGTTAGGGAGGGTCGACCGAACGTCATATGGCAGAATACGAGATCGGAATTGGTAGGAGTCCCCATTACTAGCGACGAAAGACGCCTCGATCAAGTCCCTCGACATTCGTCAAAGCACACTTTGGCGGTCAGTCATACCATCGGAATGAGGGTAGGTCTCCCTACCATGTCAATCAAGGGACGACTGGCGCGCTACCGAGAAACTTTTCCAGAGTTGCTCAACTTGCCTTCTCTGGATGCGCGCAGAGTGGGTTTTACAGCAGCCGCATTTGCAAGGATCCTTGTGACTACGACTGTGTTACGGAGTCTAAGGCTTAAATTAAAGCAGTAATCCAGTGTCTTGTGCGAAAAAACCGTGGGCGAGGGCGGACTGCTAGTCGAAATCTAGGACAGCGATTTTTGTATTATTCTAGGGCAAACGAGGCAGAATATGATCCACTTAACAATTATAGATTTATCGGTGTAAGAAATGTCCGCCAACAATCGATGGCAGTCCGGTTCGTCGACTTTGCTGTACCGTTCGATTCCAACCATTATAAGTGCCTGTAGCAGACAATAAAGCTAAACGGTACACCGATGAAAGCCATCGTCATGATCAAGGCCGCCAATCACTCCATCATTGCGCCATTTCAAATTAACAGCGATCTTTAGCAACAGTTCGATACTTCATCCGGCGTCCCACAAGTTAGTACCCCGTCGCCCATCCGCTCGACCACACACTGATTATAGTTTTGGGAGGGTCCTACATGGTTCCAACGATGTTGAGTACGCAGCCGCCGCCAAGTGACTGATCTCGACTGCCCTGACAATATCGCTTTAGTAGCCACGAGTTTTAGTGACTTAAAGACTGCTGTGTCGCGGATGAATGATGAAGTCAGACCGATCGGTTTTTCTACGAACGGTGGGAAGACGGGAGGTTTTCGAGCTGCATTAGCGGGCAGGAGAAGGAAGTCCTTGGGACCAATGGCTGCCAACTTGGAGGAATAGACTATTTAAAATACCTCGAGGCGAGGCTTCTGTTGAAGGGACAATGAAAGGACGACATCGTATACAGAATCGGTGTTCGTCGCATGACTTTTGCAACCCACGGACAGTATGTAAAGATCGACACGACATCTCCGTCGACAGAAAGATCCAAGTGTACAGGGCGTCTGTCTGGTCAGTGTTCCTATACGGTTATAAATGCTGGGTTGTGTACGTGGAAAAAAGCAGGAGCTGGAAGTTTTGACCACCGCTGACTGAGAATCATCTTTTTCATGAAGTAAGCTGCATTGAATCCGAATAAGACAGTCCGCACTCGGCCAGACAACACCGCGAGGATATCCTAGTTCATCCATAAAAAAACGACTGAGGCGGTTTGGGCACGTTCGCCGTTCGTCTCAAGAGCTCAGTGACGTTAGATCCGAAATCGTTGCCCGGCTGGAGATGTCGAAGAGGTTTACTCAAGAACTGGCTGGACACAGTTTGCCAGGACATGGAAGCGGTTTCTTGACCTTCTGAATTCAGCCTCCGTCGCTGGAGGAGAAAATAGGTCGAGCTATCCATATCCGCAGTCGTAGTCACGCATGGAGAGTTATAATCCGCGACATCTTCGAGACCGGTTAAATCAGGTCTGACCACACTTCTAATAAGTACAAGTAATTACAAGCGGAAGTCTTTGTGACTACCTTCCGTAACCTAGACGGAGATTGTCTCTGCCTTGGTAAAAACTATGCTAACTATTCACTTTCCTGCAGCATATACTGGAAGCGAAGCCTTATTTTTAACAGGACATGCCTGTCCGTTTCCTTGAGTTCGAGACAGCGTCCTACTTTGTCAACTAAAGTGTAAAATCGAATTCTAGCAAGCAGCTTACATTTCTGACCTTGATCAAAGCACACTGTCATTCCGCACGAATAAAATTTCAAAAGTACATTGAAAAGGGTGCGTACTTGACCCTAAACACTGTTCTTGGACAATGTCGAACTCCCTTACCAGCCCTTTAACTGTGCAATGAATACGGTCCAGTTCACAGCATCCCATGATTATCAGAGCGTCCAAGTTGGAAAAACCTCTATCGTCACGGACTTTGGCCACACCGACGATACCACCACACTTAGAAACTCACCCGACGGAATGAAATCCGCTCTCGAGTGCATGCATAATTGTAGCCCTGTTACTAATTCATCCTGGATTTGAACGTCTAGCAAACGTAAGCGTCCGAAGGTCCCACACTATACTCAGAGTCCTCCTTTTGGATGGAGAGAGGATGTCACGTGTTCTGTTTACTCCCGGCCTTTTCGGCGATCGACTAGCCAATGACGGGAGGCAAGCCGATAACGTATAACATGAACGCAATATACTATGCCAACTTTTATGGTGCCTAAGATCTCGCCACAAGGTTCAGGTGAGGTAAAAAATTTGAGCACGTGAAGTGCCGATCGAAGCCTTATTGCTCTGTAGTTGTT